TCCAGTGATTAAAACTGAATAGAATAAACAGTAGTTTCAATATATAGAGCTTTATTATCAAAGACTGCAAAGAGTTGAACCTCTTTGTGTTATTTTTGATGGTCTTCCCCGATTTCTGCTCGTGCTCCATCTTAACAAGTCAGTTGCTCTACTTACTCTACTAGTCTAATATTGAATATTTAGAAATATATCAAGTAGTGTGTTTTTTTTTTAAATCTTGTTTCTCTCAAATTGAATGTGACTATTATTTTGAACTACTCTGCTTATATTTTTATACTGTCACATGTCTTGAGAAAATTTTAATTATATAGAAAACAAGTGACTTTTTCCTCAACTTGGTTTAAAAAAACCCAGATTTGAACAGTCAATAGTAGTGTAAATGACTTGGTAAGATGGCCACTTTTGATAATATTGTATTATATCATCTTGTCAACAGTCCATTTAAACGCTGACCCTCTTCAACCTTCATTGTCTCCTCCTCATAGCTGCTGCGACCCCTCAACACACTGGACGACCTCTGTCGACTAATGCAGTCTTACGTCAATGTGCGCCCGAGCACCCAGGGCCACCCGTCAGGTGTCAGCCTACTGTGTGTGTCCTCTGAGCTGTGTAACCGCCTGGGAGCCTGCCACATCACCATGTGTGGTACAGGCATGCAGAGGTCAGCCTGGCACCAAGCCAACATTATTATACTGCTTGTAGTACCACTTGACTGTCAGCTGGAATAAAGATTAACACAGTGCAGAGTGGATGACATGCACAGCTGAACCTCAGAAGTGCACCCTTTGCCTCATTGTCTGGATTATTCTACTTCGAGGTGTACAGCAGGTGCAAATATGGACATTAGCGTGTTTGTTAGATCACACAGTGCTGACCATTTTGCCTTTTTGTTTTTTGCAGATGTACCCTAAATGTGACACTGGAGCAGGCAATGATCTTGGCCAGGAACCACGGTCTCATGCCACGCTGCATCATGCAGACCATGGATATAATGCGCAAACAGGTAAACCTCAGGGGCAGTTGATCTCGGAAGTCCAGTATAGATCCCTCAGGGGCTTTTGTGACTTCCCCCACTAAAGTCTAGTTTCTTTGCAATTGCATTTTTGCAGTAGAAATTATTTTAGTAACCACCATCAGTATCACAATATTAGTATGTGTATTCTTCTGATATTGGTGTATATTATGATATAGAAAATGAATGCAGAAATCACTTTTGACAGTGTGATATTGGATGCACTAAACCATATAATATAATAAACAATATACTAAAATAATTAGCATGGATTATTTCTTTTAGAAAACTACATTTGGTAAATGATAGTCATAACAGAGTATGCCATGATACAATTTTACTGAAAGTTAAAAAATAAAAATACTTAATCACTGGGGTTGAGTCAGTACTGAAACGGGTATCCAGTATGAACAATGTCTTTTTTACAAGTGTCATCAGAGTGAAATGTTTCAATATCCATTTTCTAATAAACAATAAATATTGCAACTTTTTCACTAATTTAAAAAAAGAAGCAAAAAACTAAATAAATAAATAATTGCAACTTCTGATCAACCCATATCCATTTTGGTATAAATCAACAACTTCCTCAACAAGTTGTACATCGAATTCACTAACCTAGGTTTTTTCTAGACATTGTATGTTTTGTCATTCAACTTATAGCATATGTTTTGTCTTCTACCAGGGAGCAAGAGTTGAGCTCTCTGCTAAAAATCTCAAGGTAATGGACCAGATGCCTCCATCATTCCCAAGGTACGGTATAACTGCCAGGCTTCTCTTCCCTCGCCATCAGTAGATTATACTATTCATGGTCTTATACAAGGCAGATTCCCTTCATTTTAAGTTTTTCTTTTTCAACAGGCTCTTCAAGCTGTGCTTGCCACCTTCAGATGGAGAACTCTAAGAAAACCGTCACTTCAGAGAACTCATCAGAAAAGGGGGGATGTGGAAGAGGAAGATATGATGAGAGATGACAATGACAAAAGAACACAAGTCTTACTGCTTTCCTTCCAAGACACACTGCCAATGGAAGACCCTTGCCCTGCCCCCACTGCCCCAGTTACACAGGGATCATTCCACCATGGATACCACTAGCTTCTTCAGTGCAACATACAGACTAAAAAAGACTAATGTCAGTTACCAGGGAGCACCTATGGTGAGACTGATAAAGCTTGAAATTCAAGACTATACTCAACTCATGTACTGTTATGCTGGGAAGCCCCCCAGAAGTATTAATGCTTTGGCTGTCTGTCTACACAAAGCTGACATGAATGACTTGACAACTGGTGCAAAATATTCACAAGTGAAAGGGAGATGCCATTTTAAAGGCCTCATAAAGAAGACATGCACAGTGATTATGCTCATAACAGAGCTCTTATTATTAACTGGATTAACCAAACTACCTGTAGCTGACTGTCATCCTAAATGCAGATGTTATCCATTTTGCCTTGGACTGCAACTCCAGAGAGCTGTCTCTTTCTCTGTTTGGGCCGGTGTTCCCCAGGGCTCAATGTTTGGACCCCAAGTGAAGTAGAATACTTGTGAATGCCCTGGTATTCCTGTCGGTTAGCTGGCTAAATAGATAGAAAGTTAAAGATAGATAGAGAGATGGAAGTAGGGATTGAGGGACAGATGAAAAGACGAATGATCGGGGGGCTGCTCTTTCTTCAGCACGTTGCATGTGGTTACTGTGCAATTACTGTAGGTTTAGTGTGAGTACTGTATTACTGCACTATATGAAGGATAGTTATTTATTGTGTCCGGAAGGAGCATTTTTATCCCTCACTTATACTATATCAGGTATTAAAGAATCTAAAAGCATTCCAGCCTACGTATTGAACAGTATTTAAAGGACCAATGGCATGCCATTTTTTAGACGTAACTGCTTGTGTATTTTATTTATGTGTATGGACTTTTATCACGTCAGGAAGTGTTACTTTGATCTTCAGGGAGAGCAAGGGTGGGAAGAAGAACAAGCTAGCTAATCAGAATCAGGACAAAGGAAGCTAAAGCAAACTATACGAGGCTGCTTGACAATAAGCAGCCAAGTCAACAGGTTGGGATATTGAATCTTTGTTAAATTATTAATATATTAATTCAAATGTACTAGTTGTTAACTAAGACATTTTTTTGATTTTAAATTGGTTTTTACATTGTCATTGGACTATTGTATTTACTGTAGGTATTAAAATAAGCACAATGATTGGTCCATTCAAGTTGCAGTGTTAGCAAAAAGTACTGTATGCAGTTTGTGGATGATGTAAACAAAGGGATCGTTTCAGGACTGAAACCCAGTAACATTATTTTACTGAAGATTTTAATTTCTTGTACATACAAACTGTAACAATGTCAGAGAAAAAGATAGGATGTGTCTCACAGCAGCAGAGTAATGCTATAAATTAAATTGGATTATTTTTATGGAGATAATATAGTATAGAAAACATTTTCTATTCATGACTGTGCGTTTGAAGAGAAGCTGTTTCTCTTTGCTAAGCGTAACCTCACTGACAACTTGTTGTTTTTGACTGTTAAAAAGGTTCCACGTGCATTTCAAGAATCTGTCTTGACATGCTGCTTTCATTAGGCGGATCACTTAGTCCCTTTTATTTATTTAAAAGCAGTCTGGTTCCAAATGAGCATGTTGGAATAGTCTCTACACATCCCTCGGCACTAGCATGGCCGCTCTAAATTTGCATCCCTCTTTCGGCATATAAGACTCATTATAATGTCCCTCAACAAATTTGATCTTAATCTGAGCAGTGTACATTGTATGAACTCAGAATCTGGTTTTAAGTGTGTGTCACCCATTTAAATTAGCTAATGACTGCAGCATGTTAGTGTAGCTGGACAAACGAATACGTCACTGATTACACGTTTATTTACATTATTCTAATGTTTTTGTATATACTTTATTTGCAATTTTATGTTGCTTGAAAATAACTGTACAAAGGATCTTTGTTGAATCTTTCTAAAATTATCATTGTAAATGCAATCTTAACAAGATAGTAAATAAAATGTTCACAGTATGGAAATGTGTTTCAGTGAAGCAAGTGATGATCCAACAGAGGACGTGATAGTTTCCCTCAACCTTTTTTTTTCTCACTACAATTTATCTTGTAATTTTGCTCCTTCACAATTTGTCCTACCCATGTTTATGTCGCCTTTGGTCTTCTGTGTTTGACTGCAGTTTCATAGGAGTGACTCACAGAAGATTATTACATCTCTTTGCCTGATCACACCATATCAGCAGGCTGTGACTAAGTGTTACTGGAAGTCAACAATAGGACTTCTGACTGAAGTGGTTTTCATTTTCCAGTCCATAATGTTTCTTTAAGTCACTGTACATAAGCTATTTGGTCCTGGTTTCTTCCGAACCTGATGCTTATCATGGGAAAATTGGACTCATTCAGAACATACTTCTATACATTACTATACATTTATGTTGCATATTCATTTAAGTGCTCAGCTTAAGTGAGGGCTGAGATGTCATGCTGATGTTTGACGGACGCTTTAAGATTTTGGCAAGTTCTGTATGTGTCCTATTACTCAATCAAAGAGCATAAACCTTAAAACCACAGCTCGACATAGTTTTTAGCCCTGACTGAGGAAGTCTACACATATGAATATTCCATGACCATGCAGCATTGAATGAAAGCATTATTTGCAGCTCTCTTGGACTTGAGTGGAGAGGATCTCGGGATAGATTTTATAGAAACAAAAGACTTCATTTTCCCCCCAAAAACACAAAAATGATCCTCTCCTCCTAATCAGCAACTTGTAATTGTTTTGACTGAGAAGCTTCAAACTGACAGCCCAGATGTTATTGCACAAAAAGGGAGGCTGGTTATTAAATGATTGCAGACAGCCTTTAGATCGCTGATGGCCAATGATTAAAGTGAAAATCATGTGCATTTCTCTCCTCGCTTGTCAAATGGCCGGATGGGGCTAAGGTAGAAGCATACACTGTGCAGTTTCTTGTGGTTATTGCAATTGGTTTTCGGGGGGGGTGAGACCGACAACCGACTGCATTCACCACCAGCAGCAGCAGCACACACCCCTCAGCACCGGTGATGCGTCCCCGCGGCAAGGACACGGACAGCTCCTCGTCAGAGTCGTCTCGACTTTAGAATGGTGAAGAAATCTCTCAACGGCGGGGTTTACCCAACTCAAGCCGGAGAGAAGAAGCACAAAGTCGGGTTCGTTGGGTTGGACCCCGGTGCTCCTGAATCCAGCAGGGACGGGGCGCTGCTCATTGCGGGCTCGGAAAGCACCAAGCGGAGCAGCATCCTCTGCAGACCCAGGTCCAGCATCTCCACCGGGAGACCCAGACCGTCGAAGAAAAATGCCAGCTATCGGAAACTACAGAATTTCCTCTACAATGCGCTGGAGAGACCGCGGGGATGGGCGTTCATCTACCACGCTTATGTGTAAGTGATGTTGAGTATGTCATCGTGGCCTTTTACTTTGGGGCGCCGTTACTGTGTCGGGATTTTGGGGAGCTGTTATGGAGTTTTGCGGGTTTTCCATCTCCTACGTTTGATCAGATGGCGCATTTAAGTGTTAAGCGTTGTCATGCTGCCAGGCTGCTGTAGCCTGCTTACAGGAGGGGTGTCACTTCACCTGCATAACTCCTGCTCTAACTCTTCATATCGCTGCATCTCATGTTTATATCATACTGACATGTTGGCTGATCTGCTTACGATGATGCGGGACATGTCTGCAGTGTGTGTTTGATATGTGGCCACATTTTACACTGCTTAGAGTTTCCATGTGTTGCGGCAGCATTTCAGCACCGCTGTCTGTGAACAGCTCCGCACAGCGTCAGTACTTTCACTAATTAACGTTGCAGTCCAGCTCTGCACAGTCATGTGGACTCTACATACACTGTGCAGGCAAAGGGAGTGTTCTGGATACCACAGTTAGTAACCAGACAGTCTGTGAGCTTCTTGTAGCTCGAACATGATACTCTGACTGGTTTACTGTGTGTGTCTGTGTGTGTGTGTGTGTGTGTGTGGTCTTGGTTGAATACAACGTCTTGACTCCAGTGAGGCCCTCATAAATAATATAGGTTGGAGATCAGTGACCAAAGAGCCAAACAACCCCCAATGACAACAATCCTGAGATATACAGATTTAGATCCTGCATTTCCCATAATGCAACCGATAGCATCTTTTAAGTAGAGCCTCCCTGCCTCATAACCGCCCACATCACCCAAACTCCATGTCTGAAAAGCAGCAGCATCTGTTTAAAAGATCCTGTCATCCATTATCAGTATTTTCTCTGAGTTGATAAAGCTCCTCCAGAGCTGCAGAAGACATTATTCAACTGTTTGCACAAGCTGAGTGGTTCTCCAAATGAACACAAAACTGACCTTTGGGTGTAAAATCAGTGGAGTTTTCTTTTACGTGTAACTTAGTGTAGTTTTGTGCATCCTATTAAGGTGAGATACAGTAATTGCAGTGTGATAGCTCTACTCTCCAAATAAAAGGGGGATAAACTGCAGTAGGTAGTTTACCCTCCACCCATGCCTGAATTCTTCCTACTCAGTGATACGCACGCTTGGTAGTGAGGAGGTGAAATGGCCATGGCATTAAGGAATCCACTGTGTACAGCATATCGACTCCCCAGAGACAGCTGCATGCCCAGAAGTAAGCCTGTGCTTTAATGTGAAACCACACACACACACACACACACACACACACACACACACACACACACACACACACACACACACACACACACTCGCACAGGCCCTCTGGGTGCTCTTGAAATATTAACTGAATACTATAGCAGCAGGCTGAAACTCCGTCTTCACCATTTGTTTGGCTTTTTGGGAGATCTTTATTGACCAATGTTGCTCTTAGGAGACTTATGGCTGAATCTAGTGCAGGCAGCAGTGGTGTTTTTTGTAGGATATTACAGCATTTGGAAGCCTAACTACAACAAGCAACCTAGTTAGAATAGGGTCAGCTGCAAAATCCGAATCCTCTGGAAAGTATGTTGTAAAAGGGTACACAACTCTACAATAATACAAATGAGTCTAATCTTAAAGGGCACGCAACACATCTGCATAGACTAACCACAACTCGGCCTCTATTCCATTTGTCTGTTCTATGCATTATTCATAGTCACCACACTTCATTTAATCTCCCAACTCTTCCAACCAGCTGATTTATAAAACTATCATGTGCTGACTTCAGTCAAATCTTTCCCCTCCTCCTGTGTTCTTCAACTTATCTCTGCTCCAAAAGACAGTGTTGGGCAAACAAAAAACGCCCCCGCCACCTTGAACTGACAAAGAAGGCTGTGCAAAATGTATTCGTGCTCAGGCCACAGATATTTCTTTTTGACATGTGTCCTGCTGAAATGTTTGATAGGTGTTTTCTTCCTCTGCCTCATTTGTAACGCATGTGTGAATGATCAATATGTGGAACATGAGTACCTACGTATAGCCAGAGTACTCTCTGCCTTGCTGCCTCTCGTCTCTTTCTCTTTCTTTCTCCCTCTATCTATCTAGCTGTCTGAGACCAAGGCCACCCTTCCCCTCGTGTTCTGTCGCTGGTCCAAGTTCGACATCAGTTAAATGGGAGAGACACAGTGATCCACAGTCAAGGATATTGCTGTGGACCTAAATCTTAAGCTTGGACATTTTGAATTCTTATAAGTGAAAAAGAAAACCTTCTACAGCAAAAGCTTCTTCCAGCAGCCTGCGCCAGAACGGTTCTGATTCTGTAAGGAGTGCCAATTTGCAAAAAAAGGCTTTTAATATGTCGGGTTCATCGTTCAGCTACATCCTATACTGATCTATCCAAGCGATGGTATATTCCTGCACTGATAGAGACATCTGATATCTTCACTGATTTGGCTTCAATAGGAGCCTCATTACTGTGTGCTCTCCTGCGGGAAGCACCAGCTGTGTGAGAAAACTGAAAGGCCTCTGCAGCTGTAACATGACAACATGTGTCAGTTCTGCACCAAAGTGGAACAGACGCCTGCTAGTGGAAAAGAAAGCAAAGAGAGGAGGGCAAAAGAAAGAGTTCAGAAAGGGATCAATCAGTGAAAACAAAATGAGTGTTCTGTTAAACTTTCATAAAGTGGTTCAGAGAGACAGATTGAGGACGTGGTCCAGTTATTCACTATTCTGCTGAGCTGGCCGGCTGAAGACAAACTGGGGAAGAAATAAGGCGAGGACAGAAGCAGACAGATGCTGGCTGCCAAGTCGCTGCAGATATGTGATCGAGTGGTCTGTTTTAGCAGAAGCAGGGTCTGAATGCTGAGTCCTGTAGTTATGGGCTAGGAATGGATTGTGCCCCACTGTGATTTTGATGAGAAGCCCCAGAAAGCTGTTAGGATGTTTTAATATTTAATAATGTCGTCCTTTTGGATGTTGATATGAAGCTTTCATAAAATGCACCCTTGCTCAATTTAACGCACACAAGAGGTTTTGCTGCTACAGCCTTACCTGGTCTGCATGACCAGTTAGCTTATGGGGGCTAATGTTAGCAAACATAAGCAAACCTTAGATAAATATTGCTGTGAAGCTGACATTACAGAGTCATTTGGCTGACTCTTCTTTACTGGTGCTACTGTTGCACACTACGTTTCAGCATTTATCATCATCTTTTTGGCCACAGTGGCTGCTGTTCAGCAAGAGTTACAGAGGCTAACTTAAAATTAGTTTGGCACGTGTTGTGAATTCATTGATGATGTGACAACAAATGTGGTACCACTTTATGTTAAGGTACTTGTAATAAAGCATTAATTAATATATAAGGAGGGGCCTTAAAAGATGCTTTTTTTTACATTAAAATATGTTAATAAGACTATATAAGTGTTAATGTGAAACACATGTACTGTTAGAGTATATATTTATAAGCACTTGAAACAAGAAACTTGTTAACAGTTTATAGACGGCTTAAGAAAGTTAAAAATTATTTGTTATAATTGTTTATATGATCACAAACACATCTATTATTAAGTTTAACTAAGTTACATATAATGTCATTGTTAACTATTTACTAAGCTTTTGTTGTTGCTTTCCTAAGATTTCTAAACTTCATTATTCATTTTTTTTGCAGTTAACTATGCATTTATTAACAGTTCATCGTGCTTTTTGGGGGTACCGGATCTAAAGTGGGAACAATGCTTATTAAGGTGCCCAATCTACTTTACTGTTTTGGTTCAGTCTCACTGGTTTTATGGTGTGATTTTTGGATGCAGCAGGCAGCTGTTTTTTCAACAGAAAGTCTCTGATAAACCGGATGTACACAACCTGCCCAGCTCGAACAGACAAAGTTAGGGACTAGTTGATGAACATAGTAGAAAATTAAAAAGCTAAAGAGCCAAACATTTCCCTCAGGCCTCGGTGGAGACCAAAAACAGAGCTAAAAGGACTATGACTTGGACCTGCATTCATCCGATGGACTGTTAATGTTGCTCCATTTCTGGCGGATGTGTAAATAGGCCACTGTACAAGTTTGCCCATAAAAGGTGATATGGATGAGGGATCCCTCCTCTGCTGTCTTTCTTTTTTTACCCATCCTTTCTTTCCTATTATCTAAATCGCCTTCACATGATTATCATATTTTGGGGTGCCAATCCCACACCAAATAAAAATGTAATCCGTGATTTTGCAGATAGATAGAAAACTATTAAGTAGTTTAATAAAGGATCTGCTGCCCTGCTCCTCCCAGCTTCCTGTTTTTTTTTATCTTTTTGACATCTTATCCACATAAAAAAATGCAAACTCACTTGAATCTCTTTTTAATGGAACAGGCTTTAACTGCCTTCAATTGCATTGTGTAATATAGCATTTACTGATGTACAGTAGTTTTCACTTAGTAGACTGCTCTAAAGCCAAGGAACATTAGTTCAGAGTGCAGGCTTAGTGGGTATTATTGTTCCCTTTCTTGGTTCATTCATTCATTTGCAGAATACTTTTTATTTTGCACATGACATATACAAGAAGTGAAGACTTCTTTTCCTAAAGCAGAATTCCCCCCCCCCAGTAATGGCTGCGTGCACTGCAATGTACCTATGTGGCGAATAAAGGAACACAGTGACAGCAGGTAGCTACACTAGCAGGGCCACTCGAGTATTCATTTACAAAAGATTGGTTCCCCAGAAGGTCATTATCACCCTCAAACATCCCCCTTTAGGAGCCCACAGAGTGGACCCCGCAGTGCCGGCATATGGTCTTCACCGGCACTATTTGCGTAGTGAAAAATCCCCTTCTTCCTTATTTGCTCTCCTCGAGTTCGTCGCAGTCTAAATTTAGCGTGATGAGTATGTCTGGGTAGGCAATGTTGTGCTGAGCGGGGCAAATCAATGTTTCTTTATCTGCAGCTCAGGAGGAAATGCAGGCTTTTCTGCTTCCAACAACAGCCCCCTCAGCTTGATTGATCAATAATCACGTTCCTACTGATGT